GTCTGCCGAGCGTTATTCATTTGCGGTTTTATCTCAATTTATCCAGAATCGTCTGTGCCGAAGGTCATATCGCGGTCTCGTTGGTGAATTTGGATCTGAAAGCGTTACCCCATTTAATTGCATTAATGCTTACTGTCGGTATAACGAGTCAAATTTTGTCAATGAAACTGATGAGATCTTATGGGTTCGCATGCACTCGTTTACTGATCCCGGTAAGCCTTTCTTTGCGCCACTACAGTTGGTAGTTTCGGGTGGAAGCAGTATTTACCCCGAAGAAAAAGAGTATGTTCCGGCAGCTGTTTCCACTGGTACTGCTTGTCATGAAACTGTTTCGCAAGCAATTGATACTGCTCTCATTGAATGTATGCAAATCGACTCATTTGAGTTGTGGTGGTACGGCGGATTGCAAGGTAGGCCAGTTGACCTTGATCAACGAAATTTTTTGCGTACTTATTTTGATGCAAACAGTGTCAACCGGTTTCTGCAGGAGTTTTCGCTCTCTGTTACAGATATTACTTTTGATAAAAACATTTATGTGTATGTTTGCGAAATTTTTGGCAAAAAACCTAATCTCCCTAGATATACCGTGGGAGTACAGGGCGGTTATAATCGCGAGAAAACTCTTTACCGTTGTCTTATGGAAGCTTTGTGTGTTCTCGAGTACAATATGAATCTCCCTTGGATACATTACGAAAAATGGTCGTCAATTGAAAAGAATCTAAAAAACATCAGAAACTTTGATGATAATGTTGCTAAGTATGCAAAATACGGAAAACCGCACCTAAAAGCCGGAACGTCAAACTTCATACCAGGAAAGGTACAAGGCTCGACGTTATCCTATGTCCGAAAAAATTATCCTCATTCTGGTTATCTTGTAATAACGGCGCCTGAGTTTGAGGGTCTTAACCTAGAAGTTGTACGTGTATGTATTCCGGAGCTCCTTCCGTTAAGTTTGCCTTCTTATCCTCCTCAGCATCATCCCAGGTTCTTGTCTAACGGAGGTATTGTTAACCATGTTGCCCACCCTTTGGCATAATATTGTCTGTATCCTTACCATATTCCCGGGAATTATTTCCCTTTTACTGGGCAGACTCCCCATTGTGAGAAATTGTTCGGAGAGGAATTTATTTCTCCTATGCGCCTTGACAATGATAGGATACGACGTCGCTACTAGTCATCACGCAATGATCTTATACTATCTTGGTCCTCTGATTTTAATTCTTGCTTTCGTAGGTGAGATTTTATCTACCTGTGGCTTGAAGTTTTTCAGATCATCAGCTGGAGCTATATGTCACCAAATGCAGAAATTCTTTGCTATGCTGATAGTGTTCCCCTTTCTTGAAGAGTATGTATATCGTTTCTTTCTGTATGATTTGTTTGTACGCCCATATGGGAACCCCGTTTTATTCGTAGTGGCATCGACAGCTCTGTTTGCATGTTCTCATTTCTACTCACAACGTGAGAAGGCTCTGACGAAAATACCTCTTGGTGTCATTCTATCTCTCTGCTACGTATGTACTCAAAATATCTTTTTCTGTCTGTCAATTCATCTATCCTTTAATTTGTGTATTTTCTTCTACAACCAGATAGTCGGAGGCGCTCGGTATAACTTTTAATAGCTCAATCTTGCAGTTGAAAGCTGTTGCAAGCACGATGATTTTAAAAAGGAGCTTATCAAAAGCAAGCTCGAAACGCCTATGCGGATTTTCTAAAACGAAACTGTTTTGTGGATCTCGTAAACTACAATGACCAGATCGTTACTTGTTTTGTATCGATGCCTTGACACATCATGAGGCACCACAAAGGCCACACCACTGAAACAAACATGGACTTGCTTGCATGGTAAAATAGAACGCGTTTCATTCCAATGAAGGGATGCGGCATGGATAAATTTTT